ATATATAATTTGAAAACATTTTTTTTAAATTAAATAGAAATTCTGAAAATTTTCTAAATTTAAAAATTAAATAGAAATTCTAAAAAATTCTGCAATTCATATAGAAATCCCGAAAAATTATTTTAAAAATTCTAAGGAAGATATTCACCAGATGCCACCAAGATGCACATTGCAGTGGGCTGAGATATTCTAAAAAGTGATATCAGAAATCAAATTTAGAATGCTGATACGAAATCATAATAGTTTTATAAAACAGACATTTTTGAAAGTACTCATCTTTAGAATATTATAAGGATGGAATAATTCATTTATATTTAACACACAGGAGTAGTAAGTAAAACATAATAGTAAGTAAAACATAGTAAGTAAAACATATTATATATATTATAGAATTGATATTCTTAACTTACATTTAAAAAATATTTTTTATCTGAGAATTTCTCAAATTTTTAATGACTATTGTATGAACTTTTTTATCTGTATTATTATGGATCAAGAAAAACAAAATTATGAATATTAAAGGTTGTAATATATAACCATAAAATTTAAATATTAAACAATTAATCTCACAATACGATTGACTTTTGCATATGATTATCTATTTATCCTTCCATAGCTTTTTTAAAGGATGCTTTTGCATTTTACATGATGTCTGCTTCAAAACTAACTTGCCCATATTTACCATTTCTCATTTATTATTAACAAAATCCTTTACTAAATACAAGGATGTTCCATTTTAATAAATGCACTTAAATATCTTAAAAATTATAAGATATTATCAAGATTTGCTATTTTTTCAAGTTGTATGGTTTCGAGGGAAAAACATTTTAATTAAAAAAAATTGGTCTTCGGTGAGAGCGTGCAGTTAAAATAAAGTTCATTTTTTTCCTTTTTACATCAACATTTTTATTGTTAATTTATTTTTTTAATTTACTAACTTATTACCTAGGCCATGGCTAAAGCAGTAAAGTTGACAAAGAATTATTGAAAAATAATAAATATTGAAAAAAAAAATATTGAAAATAGGATTAGAATATAAAAAAATTTTTGAAATAAAAATCCATTTTATAACACGTTATAAATAAATTATTAAATAGTGACTGTAAAGGGAAAAAAGGGAAATCAATCAATTTCAAAAATTAAAAAAGATACACGTATAACTTTTTTTTTAGTGTGTTACCGTTCTCCGATTAATTATACAAATAAAATTAAACGAAATCACGAGTTTTCTTAGAACTCGTTTTAGGTCATAGCTAAACTCATAGATAGTAAAATTAACAAAAAACAAATGAAAAATTATATGTGTTTCTTTTGTAATTTTTCTCAATCGATTTGCCTAATCAGTTCCCTCTACAGACAATATTTAATAATTCGTTTGTAATAATTTGTTACAAAAATAATTTTTATAATATTTTTTATCATATTTAAAATCGACTTTAAACATTTTTTTTTATTGGTATTTTCATATCAATATAAAAAGATTAAATTGTAAGTTTTATAATTTTGGCATAACTTTATAATTTTATGAGTCTACAGCTCACTGTGGGATGTATTAAATGAATTTGAACAAAGTACTTACCTTTGTTCAAATGCAGCATTGTTTGCAGATATGACATGTTCTAATGTGTGACCTGATGTTTTCTAATGCGTATTGTATCTTATATAAGTTTAATCATATATAGAGTAAGGCAGGGCTATTCTGCCAGTTCAATTTTAAAGTAATACGAAAATTTACGATAGCACAAACAATATATATCTCTTTGCAGTATCATCCTTATAATGGCATTACTTATAATACAATCGTGATTAAATAATCAACATATACTGTTCAGAACATAGATATTATCGCGAGAAATGGATGAAAAAGCCCCGCTTTATCCTATATTTGCCCCAACGTATATATTAGTTAGCGTAAAAGAAACATATTTTGTATGTACATGAGCACTTTTGCTGTCAAATTGCGTAATTTATTATAATTTATTATAATATTTATTATAATTATAATTATTAAAAAATAAATCCTAATCGACCTACATTCATACAAAATCTTTTTTTTTCGTTTTTTGCTTTAGGTTTAGATCCACTTTTTCAAGTATTGACATGTATTTATAATATTTTTTCAAGTATAATACTTTTTTGAATTTAAAAACTTATATACGTATGTACACTATACATGTTACAATATGCTATTTTGAATTGTATTTAAAAAGTATATACATCTTAATAATATTTTTGAAACGTCCACGGTATTTTCTATAAAGAAGCTATACATTTCGCGAGTCATTTCCGAGGCCGGATCCATTATTGAAATGCCAACGTTTCATGAATATTGCAATTATATCTTTTTATTTATGTATTTATTTAAATTTGTTTAATATTAAATAAAAGTTTCAAGTGACTTTTTTATTTAATTTTTCGAGAACTTTCTTACTATAATATTTTAAGTTGTGAATTTTGGAATATCCTGTAAAATATATAAATTTATCTTTTCAAAACGATTAGATAAGAGACTAAAAAAAAAAAGGAATTATAAAGTTAATTTAAAAATAAGAAAGATATTGTGCAATCGCATTATAAAATGAAAAGTACAAAAATGTGTATCAAAATGGTACCTGATCGTTGCAAAATTTATTTTCTCTTTGCACATGTTTTGAAAAAAAAAAATGTATCTTTCATATAGTAAATATATAATAGAATAAAATAATATATAAATTTTAAGCTCCGATATATATAGATATTTACTAAAAATATATGTACATATACGGATCGAATATGTGTGTACACACATATACACACACGCGCGCGCGCGCGCGCAGTTATGCATACATACGCGCGCGCGCGCGTGTGTGTGTGTGTGTGTGTGTACACATTCATGTTTATATTTACACATACATAAACAAATCCATAAAAATGAAAGACTTATCATATAACTTCTCTCTCTCTCTCCCTCTCTCTCTCTCTCTCTCTCTCTCTCTCTCTCTCTCTCTCTCTCTCTCTCTCTCTCTCTATCTATCTATCTATCTATCTATCTATCTATCTATCTATCTATCTATCTATCTATCTATCTATCTATCTATCTATCTATCTATCTATCTATCTATCTATCTATCTATCTATCTATCTATCTATCTACCTACCTATCTAAATATCTGGTTGTATATTAATGCGTAGTATATGAATATGAAAGAAAAAATTCGAAAGAAATATGCATGCTTCTTTATGGCTATGTTCTCGTAATTAACTGTCAATACTGAAAAGCTATAATGCACATAACATAAACTATATAATTTTCAGCGCTAGCAGTAAATTTGGAACACAGCCTATATAACTCTACCGCAAATTAATATACAAGAAAGAGAAGATTCTGAAATTGCAAAATAACACTGATCCAATAAGTAAAATATTACAACAGTAAGATGCATTTCTTTTACATTAATAATTTTCTTCTTATTATATTAAAATATCAGTAACTTAGTTCAACGATATTAAAGCTGTTAAATTAATTTTGTGTGTATAATTTCAATATAAAATGCATTTATATTTATTATTATACACATCAATATAATTATAATATCAAAAGTTTAATATAAAATCTGTAATTTCTCATACACATTTAATACTATAAATTCTTTGTTAAAGAATTATATTCAATACTGTTAAGATGATCTTAAATAATTTAAATAATTATTTTAAAAGATTAATTTGATTCTATTAACAGTAATATAAAAGACAATATATATAAAAGACAATATATATAAGATTTCTATTTCTGGTAATATCAACATCAAGATAAATTTTTAAAATAAATTTTCGTTTATCGAAGTATATCTACATATTAAAAAATATAAATCTTTATACTGATAACAATAATTGAAAATTATTTCAATATAGCGGTAGCAAACTTTTAAAAAAACTTAAATTAAACAATTTTTGTATAAAGAAAGAATTGGATTTGCATTCTGCATTTCACAATTTGAATTCTTTCTATACTGCGATATTAGAAGGAAAAAGTTAGTAAAAATTTAAAGAAAATATTCTGCGTTCTAATAGTTTTGGACTAAAAAAAAATATGGATATCCTGGAAAACTAAAAAAAATCTGCTTAAAGACATAAATAAATTGCATGGAATGTACGCGCCAAGAAATGATATCTGATTCTCTAGAATGATTAACAAATTTAATTGGGTACTTTCCATTTATACGATTTTTGATGATACTTATATTTTGATTTAAGTTATATAGTTCAAAAATCAACTAACTTCATTATAATAAACGAAAAACATGTATCGTATGTAAACATTGATGTGTATTATGTTCCAAATAGCTCAAAAATATGCAAAATTAATTCGTTTTCGTTTAATTATAATAATAGCATAATTTGTTGATATAAAATGAATTAGTTTACGATTTTAGTTACATTCCAGATATATTTGCGTACATATAAATACACTCTCGAGATACAATATTTTCATGACATAATTTAACAAATAGAATTTGATTTATATTTCTTTGCTTTCTGTACATCTTTTAGTTTACTATCTAATCGTAAGCAAAATTAATCAACTTGAAATATGGAAAAACATATTAGGAAATTAATTGGAAAGCACCCATTAACTATTAACAAATCTTTATGTATAAACTTACATTCATCTACTACATTGATAACTGCTAACTTTTATCGATGTGATCATATTGTTGTTTTTTTCTTACTTCTTTTAATGAAATAAGAGCTAACAATATTTTGTACAAGTTTTATGATACAAATATATTAAGATAATCAGATTATATATATATCATATATTATATGTATAATTTAGAGTTACAAGTCCTTGCAAGGACTCAATTTTTTCTTGTACAAGGCAATATCTGTTCCTTCTAATGACATTAAAAAAAAATTTTTTTTCTCTTTGTTTTCTTGCTAGTATCCCTCGCCCTGTACTGGGAAAATTAAAATCTACGTAATTCGCTTATGCCC